GCATCTACATCGCTGCACTCTACACGTCGAGTCGCGCCGGTAGGTGTGCTCGGTTTGCCCGAAAGCTCACCGGAAGTAGCTCACCGGCGGTAATGACGGACGGCGGAGGTCACGCGGCGGTATGCCAGCGTGCTCCGGACACCGTACGCTCCGGTGAGGTGCTCTACAGCTTTACGGTAACCTATCGAAGCTAACCTAGGTGTCTAGGGTTCCGGTGATGTGACGACAAGCTTGGTCCACGTGTGTGGCCGCGCGGCGACGCTCGGTGCACGGCGATGCTCTCACCGTTCCGGCGAGATGGCAGCGGAAGAGAGGTTTCTGTCATGCCATTAACTAGACCTAGGGTTACCCTACCAAAGACGCGAGAGGACGGAGGGATACGATCGACTAGCTCAACGGCGATGAGCTCCAGTGCCACGATAGCAATGGCGGCCACACGCAGAGCAACGACCCATTCCGGCACCGACACACGGTGGCGTCATCCCCAGATTCGACCTAAGCTACAAGACTCTAACAGGGTGCTGGACCAAAGGAGATGGAGGCGTGCAGGACACTGGAATGGGCGAGCCACGATGAGCCGCGAGCACGACGACGCTCCGGTGATGGCGGCGAAGCGAAATGCGCCCTTACCCTAGCTCGGCAAGTGGGGCTAACGGGTCGGGGTGGAAGAGGTGACGATGATGGAGCTGCTGGCGAGCTAGATTGGGCGATGGTGCAACGACGACGACAAGCGGGCACGGCGGAGCGACGGCGATGGCGCGGCGGCACTGTGCTTTGCTTTGCTCAGGCGTGGGCAAGAAAGAGCGCGGTGCGAGAGTGAATGAAGCGAGGAGCAGAGGCACGCGACTTATCCCTCCGCGTTGGCCTAACCGGCCGAGCCGACGCCGGCGTACTACCGCCACGCGACGCGCTTGGCCTGCCCCCCATCGGCCACTGACGGCGCGGCGTCCGCGGCCATCAGGACCTGATGACACGACTGACAGAGCGACTTTGATCACCTATATCTCCCAAACTAGTTGGAGTTAGCAAAAATTCCCTGAATAGAAATTGTAGAGCTACATGTAATCTACAAACTTGCTTCAAGAAGCATCCCCAAATTCTCAATGGTTAGCCAGTTACAATGCTCCCAAGTGAGGTACATTGAAACTGTAAACAACAATAAGACTTAGAAAAATTTTAGCAAGTCCAAAACAGCATTTCTTGCTACTTGTGAGCTATTTTTGAGCATGCTAAGCACTGAATTAGACTTTGACCCAAAAATAAAAGTTGTTGCTCTAGTCAAGTACAACAACTTTGCTTAAAGGTGCACTGCCATGCAAACACTCTACGCTATAGTTCAACTTAGGTCAAACATGCAACTTGAAAATGATAGTTTACACTATAACCATGACTTAGAGGCCAAATTGGTCCAAGTCATGAATACAAAGTTGTTCCATATGACATTATAAACATGTTTAAGGTACTCCTAAGGTCCCACACATATTTTATACATTGGTCACCTGTAAATCCTAGCATATGTAAAGCATTTAGTGACAAACACATGTGATATAAGCAATCATAGAGATAAAATTTGAAATGCTCATGCTCATGAATGATCAATAATGCTGGTGATCTTGCAATGCCAATGCCAAATGCATGCTTAACACCTAGAGTGTTACAGGCACCATCGACCACGAATCAACTGCAATGTTTCCAAATTATCTGTGCACCAAGGATGACGGAGTTCAGCACTTTTCGAGCCTGACCCTCAACCAAAGCCTCAACTCTAGACCTCCGTTCATCAATGCTCGTCCGGCTGCGGAGAGAGAGATTGCAGACCAACTTGCAAGAGGAATGGCAAGATTATGAAAGCAAAAACACCTCCCCAAACTTCTTAGAGGACCATTTTAGTTCCCTTCCTTGGTACAAGCTAGGGCACTGCTCCCATAAGGTTGCAGGGTCTCAGTATGACAGGTACACCCCAACATCTGAAAGGAACAAAATGCTATGCATTCAAAAGATTGACATGAGATTTCAAATAATCAGCCATTGTAAATGATTTAAGGTGTGCCCTAGACAATTACCCCCATTTGCATGTATATGCAAGTCAAAATGGAAGTATCAAACGATAATGCATGTCCATGCATGCAAATGCAATCAGATAAGATTATTTGTATTTCTAATGTTAAGCGAAACGGGGAATGCCAGCTTCTGAATGAAAGTAAGACAACTCCTGGGTGGTTGCATGAAGTATCCACGAATTGCATTCATAAATAGTTATAAAGTCATAACAGAGAGCAAACTCTTCTTTTGTTAAGTTCGAGAATGAATTCCTATCAGAAAGAACCAAACAGCTCATAAAGAAGCATAAACTTCAGTTTTAACTGGTATGGATTGACATAAAACAACATCATAAGAAAACAACACCAAAAGGATGAATAACCTGTGGACCAAGCAGTCCAGTAAACCCTGTTATTTGCCAACAGCCAGCACTTATCAAGATACCATTTACTTTTATTATGACGCTGGTAAGGGGGTAGTGGAGGTGCCGGCGATGGCGATCCTTGGCTGCGCAGGGCTAGGGCGTAGCTGCGGGTAGAGTCGGAAACAGCGTTTTCATAAGGGGGTAGTGAATTACTCTTGTAGTAGCAGTTTCCCACATGAGCCGGGACTTCTTTCCCTGGGTCATGGTGGTAGCTTGTGCTTTAAGTACATCAAGCTTCCACTCCAGAGAAGCAAGCTGCTTTTTACAAATCAGAAACTTCAGCTCTAAAGAGCAAGCTTTGAGCCATTAAAAGAATAAAGAAATTCATCCAAAAATGGAGAGATCAAAACAAACTGTTAACAGGATAATCATCTGCTCTAACATTGAGCGAACCTTGTCGGATTACAGTATGACCCAATAAACTGTCCTTTATCCAAGTCAGGTCAGACTCTAATGTTTGAGGAGCAATATTTTTAGGAGACAGACTCGCAATGTTAGTCAAATACTCAAATGATGCCTTAGTTAGAATCTTAGAAACTTGGGACATTTAGATGCCTTGCTCCATCACCTAGCCTCGCTTCGCTGGGCAAGGCTAGCCTTGCCAGCGGAGGTGAGCCGAATTGGCCAGCTAGAAAATCCTGGAAAACACAGATAACGAGGCAAGGTTGCTGGAGAACCAAACAGCTATCTACCTCTGATTTGTTGCCAAGCGAGGCAAGGCGAGCGCTCGCCCGGCGACCAAACTAGGCAACAAGTCAGTGTAGATCATTTGCAAAACGAAATGAGGAGGTACTTTGAAATGACATTCGTATGCAGGAAAAGCTCCAGAAAAAAAGAAAGTGACCAAACCAGAGTAGAACTGAACAAATTCCTATATTATTAAAAAAAGGGGAAATTTTGTCTGCTATTTTTGCAAGGGTTGTAAGGTAAGTGCAGTTCTAACAAAAGCAGGGGACAGAATACTAGCACGTCAGTTCCTGTAAGGAACGAGACAGCCTACCTGATGTTTTCGACACTTTGCAGCAGGAAAATATACCCTTGATTCTCCCCATTGTCTGAGAAGGCTGAAATACTTTCAAAAGCAAAATCCAAGTCACCTCCTGAAAATAGCACTCAAATTAGGAATGCATGCCTCCCACTTGACAATGATAACAATTTGAGCTGAACAAAAGCAATACACACGCATCAGTGTCTCCAATGGTTTAACAAAGCCTGCTACTCATTACATATAATTCACAATGCAAGTTTCTAATGAATAACTCAAAAAATGGAACCAAAATTTCCATACCTCGAATAACTTCCCTTCCAATTCATGCTGCTCATACCTGAGGTTCATGCAAAAGTCACAACCAGTATTAGCCTGAGAGCCATTACAAACTAAACAATGGCCGATTCAATAGAGGAAGGGTGTTTTCCTTCAAAATTTGCGCACACAACTTTGTCCATCATAGTTATGTCATCATGTTGTAGCAGTTAGTATGCTTTCAATGCCTTACTTTAAGCCTTTAACTAGCTCTTAGAACCTGAGGAAGATCACTTTGGAATTGAAGTAATAACTTGTGCTGTAAGCATCCTTGTAGATATGCTTTCTCAAATGTATGAACACACTCCTGCTGGTGTAACAACTTCTAATGGTTTGAGTGGAAATACCACATTGAAACAGTGAAAAGAGGTGTATCCGTGTATACTTGGTAAACACAATCAGCTGACTTCATCATAAGACTAAGGAACAGGTTTTCAACTCCTCAAGAGTAGAAAGGTGAAAAGAACAGTTTCTTCAGCAAACAAACCAAGGCTACGGTTCTAAGAAAATAAAGGTTAAGGACCGTCATTGCAAGGAATCCCCTCATACATATACTTCACAAAAGATCAAGCTTGCAACAACGAAACACTAAAATTTACAAAGACAAGAAGACCTACAAGATACATACTACTGGGTAGATACGAAACCATACTGTAACTTCTCCAGACTGATGACACATCCAAATCATCTTCATGTAAAATTAAGCACAACATAATGCGTCCTAGTTAAGATTAAGAACCTGTTTCCCTCTTTTGGTCTTCTTCAGGTTGAGTTCCATCCCAATGGCAGTTCATCCAATCCGAAATATTACTCACGAAATTATATTTTCCGTTATAGTATCAGTCTTATCTGCCTTGCTCAACATTTCTCTGAACACAGTTAATACATCCTCTATCCTACCGTCTTCACAGCAGCTATCAATCAAAGTCTTACAGGTAACAACATCAGGTTTCAATCCCATAGAGACCATGCCATCAAGTAAAGTACTAAAGGTAACAGCAGTGGGTTTCAAGCCAATCAAGAGCATATCATCTAGGAGCTTCATCACTTCGTCCACTTCACCAGCTAAGAAATACCCATGAATCATAGTATTATAGGAAACAACATCAGGTTTTACACCTGCACACGGCATCAAATCGAAGAGTTTTTGGGCCTCTGTAACCTTTCCATCTTTAAATAGTTTGTCCATCATTGCATTGAAGACAGTGACGCTAGGAGGAATGCCTCTATCCATCATCTCATAAAATAGTTCCTCAGCCTCTCCCATTTGCCGTGCATAGAAAAACCATGAATTAGAGTTGTAAATACTACGACGTTGGGAGACAATCCATCATCAATCATTTGATAGAATTGGGCCATTGCATCTTCCAGCTGGCCGATCCTGCAAAGCCCATCTATTATCGTCCCATAGTTAACTATGTCTGGCACCAATCCTTGCTGCCGCATTTTGTTAAAAGTAAGCATTGCCTCATCTAACCTTCCGCATTTACAATATGCATGGATCTGTATGTTGAAGGTATGATGATCAGGTTGCATCCCATTTTGTACCATCAAATCTAAAAGATTATTCATTTCAACAAGATCTCCTTTGGTAGCATACCCATGAAGCAGACTTCTATAGGTGGCGACATTGGGGTTTTCACCACTCTGAATCATAGAATTAAATATTTCTCTAGCTTCTGCGTGCCGTCCAGATTTACAAAGAGAGTCTATCAGCATACTGTAAGTAACAACATCATGCCGTTGCCCATCTCTGGACATTTCTTTGAGAATTCTAACTACCTCTTTCCACTGTCCCAAAGAGAGGTATCCGTGGAGAATACTGTTATATGTAGTACAATTAGGCATAATATGTTCGTCAATCATCTGCCGAAGGACCTCCTCAGCCTTGTCCATTGCTTTAACCTTTCATAGGCCATCAATGATTGAATTGCAGGTCACAACATTTGGCGGGATCCCATGATCAAGCATTTCACGAAACAGGGTGTAAGCTTTCCGTATCTCACCCTCTTTAAAGAAGCCATCGATTACAGTGGTATAGGACACTGCATCAGGTGGGCAGTTGTCATCCTCAGCCATCATGTGGATAAGTTCGACAGCCTCTTCACATTTCTTCTCATCACATAGCCCTTTGAGAAGTGTGGTGTAGGCGAAGACATCGGGGGTGCAGCCGAGCTCAGGCATCCGCCTGACCACAATATTCACCGCATCACTCGTCCTCTTCTCAGCACAGAGGGTTCTGAGCAGGGGCGTGAAGGTCATGGCTTGTGGCCTCAATCCCGTCTTAATGATTTGGCCCAATGCGGTGAAGCCGAGATTCAAGCATCCTGCACCGCAGCAGCAACTGATGAGGATGTTGTAGGTAGCTATGTCTGGAGCCACCTTCTTGACCATGCGGTTGAACAGGGACACGGCGAGCGCAGGGCCTTCGCGCACGGTGGAGGAGACCGGGGCGCGAGCGACGGTGGTGAGCAGCTGGTTGAGGGCATAAACGGAGCCGGGCCTCGCTTGAGGAAGCAATTCGTCGAATAGATCGAGTGCGTCCTCGGGGCCGAGGTCCCCCGATCGGTAACACTTCCCGATGAACTGCTCCAGCTCCCAGGAAGGGCGGCGGTCGGCCCTCCACACGTCCACCGCTGCCGAAACGGCCGGCGGCGGGGAAAGCCTTTGGATCGATGGGAGCACCTCGTCGCAGAGTAGGCTCGCGGCCTCAGGGGTGAGACTTGCCGAGCGGAGGCGCCGTCCAATGATCCGCTTCAGCTTCTTGAACCAAGGCGGGCGCGTCCGGCTCGACATGGGCGGCGCTGGCGGTTGGATCCACGCCTCGCGCCTCCGATTCCCCTCTGGTTCGGTGGCAAATGCAGCTCGCTCTTGGGATGGTCCGCACGGCGCAGCGGTGGCGGTGTGCTGGTGTGAGAATGGGGAACGAATCGAAATTAGTTGGAAGCGGCGGCGGCGGCGGCGTCGAGGATTCGGTGGTGTACTCGCGGTGGCGGCTGGGCTCTGCTGGCTGCCTTCGCGTGCTTGGGGGAGTACTGATCACGTGCCTGGGAGTGGGCCACCAGGTTGGCATGTTTTCTTTGGGCTTCGACGTTTGACCAAGTAAATCTGGAATTTTTTTTTGTCCTAGAAAAAAACTCTGGAATTTTTTTTTTCTTCAAGGAAAATAGAAAATTAATTTGAGCGCCAGACAATTTGAGGCGTTATGTACAGAGTGGCAACCGAGGAAATACTGATTTGAGAATCTAAAATGTCAACAACAAACTCAAAAAGTCAAAATGAATCGGAAAAGAAAGAGAGAGAAGTCGACCATGAACTGTGTATTTGACTTTAATTTCTGTTAATACTTTATAGAATAATGTTTTCTTTTTTTTAAAAGGTTATAGAATAATGTTGAATTTATTACCACAAATTCCTCTCATGTTGATGTTGATCTCGTGCTCATATCACGCAAATGAAGCCTGTCGTCTCATTTTTATGATCAGTTCAAAATAGTAATCAACAACATACAGTGAGAAAATAATAATAGTTTTTAAACCAACCAAAGACAAGTGAATTGTATTAATAGAAAAGAAGGTCCAAACTAGACAAACAACAACCCAGAAAAGAGTTTATAGCAAAAAACAAACAGAAAATATGCAATTACAATGACTAAGGTATATTGACAACAACCTACTCTTGTCGAGGACCAATATTGGGGTACCCGAAGAGCAGGATCTAATGATTATCACACATTGATTCATCCGAATAGTCAAGAGCGCGACTACAGCTCCAACCGACTCCCAGGCGCACAAGCTCCGCCTCGCCCGACCTCTGGGGGAGGGCTCCATCTTGCCCGACTCCGAGGCCACGGGCTCCGCCTCGCCCGACCTCTAGGGGCGGACTCCGCCTCGCCCGACCCCAAGGTCACGGGCTCCGCCTCGCCCGACTCCGAGGCCACGGGCTCCGCCTCGTCCGACCCCAAGGTCGCGGGCTCCGCCTCGCCCGGCTTCTAGGGAAGGGCTCCGCCTTGCCCGACCCCGAGGCCACGGGCTCCGCCTCCAGATTTACAGAGACAGTCTATCAGCATAGTGTAAGTAACATCTAGTCGTTGCCCATCTCTGGACATTTCTTTGAGAATTCTGACTGCCTCTTTCCACTGTCCAAGAGAGAGGTATTCGTGGATCAGACTGTTATATGTAGCGCAATCAGGCATAATATGTTTGTCAAACATCTGTCGGAGGACCTCCTCGGCCTTGTCCATTGCTTTAACCTTGCATAGGCCATCAATGACTGAGTTGTAGGTCACAACATTTGGCGGGATCCCATGATCGAGCATTTCACGAAACAGGGTGTAAGCTTTCCATATCTCACCCTCTTTAAAGAAGCCATCGATTACAGTGTTATAGGACACTGCATTAGGTGGGCAGTTGTCATCCTCACCATCATGTGGATAAGTTCGACAATTTCTTCACATTTCTTCTCATCACATAGCCCTTTGAGAAGTGTGGTGTAGGAGAAGACATTGGTTGTGCAAATGAGCTCGTGCATCCGTTGGAGCACAATATTCATCAGATCACTCGTCCTCTTCTCAAAGACAGAGGGTCCTGAAAGGTATGTGAAGATGACGGCATCTGCCCTCAGCCATGTCTTAATGATTTGGCCCAATGCAGCGAAGCCAAGGTTCAAGCAACCCGCTTGGCAACAACAGCTGATGAGGATGGTGTAGGTAGCAGCATCTGGAGCCACCTTCTTGCCGCTTGCTCGGGCCATGCGATTGAACAGGAAAACGGTGAGCATAGGGCCGTCGCGCACGGTGGAGGAGACCTAGGCGCGAGCGACGACGGTGAGGAGCTGGGTGAGGGCATAAACGGAGCCGGGCCTCGCTTGAGGAAGCAATTCGTCGAATAGATTGAGTGTGTCCTTGGGGCCGAGGCCCCCCGATCGGTAACACTTCTCGATGAACTGCTCTAGCTCCCAGGAAGGGTGGCGGTTGGCCCTCAACACGTCCACCGCTGCCGAAACGGCCGGCGGCGGGGAATGCCTTTGGATCGATGGGAGCACCTCGTCGCAGAGTTGGCGCGCGGCCTCGGTGCCGAGGCTTCCCGAGCGAAGGCACCATCTGATGATTCGCTTAAGCTTCTTCAGCCAAGGGGGTCGAGCCCCGCTCGACATGGTCGGCGTTGGCGTCGGCGTGCCTCTGGTTCGGTGGGGATGGTGCGCAAGGCACGGCGGCGGTGGTTTGAGAGCAGGGAACGGATCGGTGAAAACTACATGTGGAGTCACTACAAGAAATGTGTGGTTTTTTGACGTATTTAGCATGACAACATGTCAGAATGTCATTATATCATCCGGTTTATGACATTCTGTTTTAGGCACTTCGACTTAGTGACAATAAAAAGTTGTATGTCACAAAAAACATCATATAGCTAGTCCAATTCCATCCGGTGACAATATTTGCTATGTCATAGAGGCATTTTCTGTCACAAAGTCTAATTTATAAATGGCATCAACCTATGACAAAGTTTGTGTGTCAAAAAGTAATTTGTTAATTTTTTTAAACATTGTTGTCCATGTTGGCATGTTTCACAGCCATGTGATTAGGTAGGTACATATTCTTTTTTATTTTAATTGTTTTTTCAACATATTTTAGTCCACTGTTGTCTATATTTCATGGCCGACGTAATTAAATGTGGCGCTTTATTTTATATACGCCTAATCACTACAATAGAAAAAATAAGCAAAATGACACATATTATCTTGGAGAAAAAAAAATACATTTCAAATTTTTATGAGCAAGGGTGCTCAAACCTAGGATCAGACAAAATAAAAGCAAGAGTCTTACCTTTGGGCTACAAAGAAGTTTCAATTATCTTTTGCAGTTCATTCTGTATTATAGTTTGTATAGAAGCGAATTGACTTAGGCTCTGGAGCACAGGCGCCGAAAACTGACTGCGGTCGTACACACATACGAATAAAACTGAAACATGTGGTTTTGTTTTTATATAAAAAAGAAGAAAAAATTAAGCCAAAATGGAATTAAAAAATGCCTCTCCTAAGCCCAATTTTTTCTCTTGTGCAGAAATTAGAAGACCTCCTATCTTTCTCTTGGGCCTAAACCACCCTCCTCTCTTCTTTTTGCAAGCCCAGCTCGGCCCCTGAGTGGCCAGCCCAACGCCCTTCCCTTCCGGCCTGTCGACCACCTCTGGCCCAGGCTCGTCCCTTCCTCTAGCCCAACTTTTTTTTACAACTCCATAAGCCCAGCTCGTCCCCCTCCTGGCTCTTCTCGCCAAAGCGGCCCAGCTAGCCTCCCGGTTGGCCTCCTCCCTCCCTCAGACCCGTTGAGAAGACAAAAAAATTATCAAAACAAGTGTGGCATCGGGGGTTTAAACCTGCGACCACATGAGTTGGAACACACAGCTTCACCACTGAGCTAAAAGAATGTTCGTGTCATATTGGATAGTGCAGATTTTATATCTCAAGTACTATCAGAGGCCCATTTTTTTTAATGTAAAACCAGTTTATAATTTATTAATTAGCGACCCTTTTCACGTCCGTTTCAACCAGTTTATTTGCTTTCGGAAAAAAACATGCACATGAAAACTACTCGATTTCACTCTAATCCTACAACCGACGCGAGTTTGTCTGGTTGTCCTAGACAACACGGACAAGTCGACTTGTGTACATCCGCATGCACCTTGATCCTCAATGTCAAAGTTATATATGGGTTAAATTAGATTTATGGCATGTCCATTGACTACAATCCATTTAAATCACTTGACCATGTTTCGATCTATCCAAAATTAATAAATATCTACGTTTATATATTTATATTATTTAAAAAGCATAGATTATTTTATATTGGTTCGTCACTCTCTTATATGTTTATATGAGTTAGAGTAGCACGTCTAACTAGCCATGTGCAGTGCGAAGTATATAATCCGAAAATGAATATGAACAATAATGTGATAGTTAGATAACAAATCTTTAAATCTCTCGTGCTCATGTAAGTTAGAGTAGCTAATGTACGTCGAGGAGACAATAGGAAATCCAATTCCAAGATGAATCCTAACCCATGATGCGATTATTAATAAACCTCCAAACTGAAGTCGTCCAAATGACCGTGTAATAATAGGTACACCCCGTTGCAACGCAGGGCACATTTGCTAGTAATATCTAAACTTGGCTAGGAAAATCTACAAACTTGCATAACAATATGATTTTTGTGTACAATCATCCCACAAAAAATTCAAATAATTTTAACAAAACAGTATTGTACATCGTTCACAAATAAATATATCTCACACATAGTTATATGACTAAGTGAGAGATCCTTCTAGCTGTGAAGGATGTATAGTCTCACTTGATCAAAATTGCCTGAAATTGTTATAGAGTGCTTATGGACTCAAAATATGTTTTTGTGTCAGTTTGCAAAATTATCTGACCAAATTTAGTTATTATTATAATTATTCGTTGAATTACTATAGAATAAATGTAATAATATCTAAACTTGGTTAGAAAAATCTACAAACTTGCATGACCTTATGATTTTGGTTAGAAAACAACACTTAAATATTAAAGTTCAGGTAAACATTGTATTGGGGCACACATGTGTATACTGGTAAGTCAAATACATTGTAACATTTTATTTGCTATAAAAATTAAAAGAAAAATAAAAACAGTAAGGTCTGAAAAGTTTTTGTCTTGGGCTCAATTAGGTACTTAGTCCAAAATTTTATAGGCCCAACATGTTTGGCGTTGAGTCAGTCCAGCCCAATGCCATTCAACGTATAAATGAGCTCCCGAAAACCCTAACC